AGGCCCCCACTGCGATGGAAAGATCAGGTGGAGAAGGACTTGGCTTCACTTGGCGTTTCCAATTGGCGTCAGTTGGCACAGAGGAGAAACGACTGGCGTGCTTTGCTGAACTCGGCCAAAATCGCTTAGGCGGTTACAGCGCCAAAAAAGAAGAAGAACTCTGATCAGGGAAATTTTCGATGACAACACTGGTAGAAACGGTCAGCTGTTGTCTTTTGTACAAGTAAGCAAACAAAGCCAGCGAGTTTCGCGTCCGTGGTAGCCGAGTAGTGAGAGTTCCGTGCTACAAGTCTGTGGGTGCCAGGTTCGATCCTCAGTTGGAGCGATTGCCAAAAAAAATATTATTTTGTATTTTATTTTATTTATTTTTTTTTAATTTTATTTGATTTATATATTTAATTTTAATTTTGCTCTTCTTACTACATACTGGCATAAGTAGTACGTAAAAAATTATTCTTAAAATGATCTCCAATTTCATGCAACTCAGCTAAGGTTTCAAGAGAGAGTTCTTGACGCTTTTCCAGTTAAAGGGTTTATTAGTGAAGTTTTCTAATTACTTGCACTTGGAAAATTCGGAAATTTTTTGATACGTATGAATGCGATGTGGAATTTAGTTTTCCCCGATTTTAAGAGTGACTTACTCCTAAGTCTGATTTGAGTAGTCCGAACAGTGACCAGCACAGCTGACGAACGCTCTCGCTTTGTATATGTACGTAATCCAAAGTTTGGACTCTTTCTGCTTACTCTCTCAACGTTTCACAAAAAAAGGAGTGTTACTAACATGTTACTATCTTTGCGATGGCAACGATGCGGCGATTCTGCGATGCTAAATTTACAGTTAAGTAGCGTGTACTCGCCGCATCGGCATCGCCGATTATTAACATGTTACCTTTTTATGTAATCTGTCTAGTATACACATATACATACACATACATGGACATGACTCCTTGTCATCTTTAGGTAACGATATATTCCTTTGGAGTATCACTCTCTATTCTTTAAAGGTTAAAATAAAATAATTTTAAATAAACGAGTTTGTTCATTGCGTAGATAAATACTTAAAGGAAAACAAAAATACGTAGACTTTAATAAAACACAAATAGGCAGATCTTGGGTTGCTAAATCCTTTTAAGCGTTAAAAATGTAGGAACTTATTATACATTGTTTTACACTTAAAAAATTCGTTCAAATATAAATATCGTAGTATCGAAAAAAATATCGTCGATGTTCTCAAAACATCGCGATAAACATATCAATATCGACCAAAAAATCATCGATATCGATATATCGTTTGCATCCCTAGTTTTATGTATACAAAAATTATCGAAAAAGTATAGTCATTTAAATACTTTTTTTCGAAATAAAAATATAAAATTTGTAATTAAGTTACCATAAATATTTCATTTTATATTCACTTATTAGTTACAGTCTTTGACTTTGAACAAGTTAGGGGTTACCTAGGTCTGGCAGGCAAGACTTGGGGCTGCAGTCCTTAGATCTGGAGATGAATGTTTAACACGATAGTTACGTCTCGAGAACTACCTTATCTACGGTAATGCAATCTCTTATCAAGCTTCATGTGTATGCATCATGGGGTTGAGCCGCTTATTTTACCGTATAACAGGCAGCGAAGCGTATTTTACTAAACTTCACAATATCAAACTTTGGCAGAGACAAAACCTTACCATCGAGGAACAGTTAGAAGCTGGGCTCCCAAATTTTATTAGCTTTGCTTTCCAGAGATGATACGCCCAAATCAGTAGTCTTTGAGAGAAAACTCAAGGTAGAGATTTGCAGTAAGGCACCTTGGAGTACATTTATGAAAGGACGTATACAGGCTAGCACGCTGCAACGGTATTGGTGCAGGCATCTACAGACCAAGACTGGTGCTCCCGGTGCCCATGAGAGCATATCCGAGCATCTTTCAGGCGGAGGTCTAATAGAATGTGTGCAAAGATTAACCCACGAAGGAATTATCGTAGTGAAAAAATCCAAATATTGAGTATAGCTAGGCGCCACTGAAGGCCTTGATACCATTTGAGCTAAAGTCCTCCTTGATCCTTGAGTGCATGGACAAGCTTAACAGCCTGGCGGAGCACAAAACCATCCGACTTATTTGGGTACCAGGACACATAGGGGTTGAACGAACATAGAACATAGGCAGGGAACATAGGTAGAACGACGGGCGCCTCGTCTTCCATACGGCCTGAGGCTTTCTTGAGATCGGGCCTAGCACAATGCTTACTGGAAGACTGCAACCGTACAAGGTACAGGGTAACGCATCCAGTCCTGGACCATGTTGTGAATCCCGGGATTTCGGGATCTTAAATTGGTAATCCCGGGATCCCGGGATATTTCGGGATGTTATTACCAATAATTAAAATATGCTAACAAACTAGTATTGTGGTATTGTTTTAGTGCGAATACTAGAAACAAAAATAAATTTGTGTTTTTAAGCAAAGAAATATGAATGTCTTTATTTTATAGCAGTTTAAAAATCTAATTACAGCCTGAATAAACTAAAAACTATGGAATTGAAATTCATTCATGTTGCAACCGCAGTCATTTTTACAAAAAAGTAAAAAATAAGAGATCATCTTTACACTTACATATAGTATTTGTACATATACAAATGTTTAGTAATATTAGCTTGTATACAAGTCGGACAAATTTCGTAAAAAAAAATGGCACCTCCCATACTAACTAAAATTTTCATGTTATATATCTCTTAAAATATTTGTGGAACATGGTGTCGAGAAATTAATTCCATACTCATGGGAAAAAATGGGTGGAATCGGAAAAGGGGGCGTGGCACTTCCTAGAGGCGTGAAGTATTTAATCAGCTATAACTTCGGAACCATAGGTCACATGAATTTTAAATTTGGCATGCAGACATATCTATGGTAGGTGCTTTTAGTAAGGTATATATATAAATGAGTCTGTAAAAGGGGGCGTGGCACATCCCAAAGGCGTGGAATTTTTCATCAGCTATAACTTCGGAACCATAAGTCACATAAACGTGAAACTTGGTATGCAGATATCTATGGTACATAGGTGCTTATAGTAAGGTATACATAAATGAGGTTTTAAAAAGGGGCGTGGTACATTTCATAGGCGTGGAATTTTTAATAAGCCATAACTTCGGAACGATAAGTAACATGAACTTGTGCAGACATACCTATGGTAGGTGCTTATAGTAAGGTATAAACCCGATCCCGGTACCAGATGCCTTAGTACAGGGTAATAATAAACCTCCCCAAAGATATAAACACGTATTTTGACGGGTCAATGTAGACTAAGAAGTCACCTTGCACCGGTGGCAAGAAGACGGGTGAGATATCTGGCTCTGGTTAAATGTTTTATTCATACAATCGCTGACCCCTAGAGGGCATTTGAAATTTTTAAGAACTCTGGGATTGGATGAGGTACTGTAAATAATTAAGAATACAATAGAACTCTTTTTCTCAGTGCTAACCTATATGTCATATCTATATATCTAGGTAGGGCTAAGTAAGCCGCTACAACATCAACAACAACGGAAGAAAAATAAAGACATTAAGAGTTCAAACCCATGTGTAACTACACGATAGATTGCAGGAACATTGAAAGCTAGTCACTTCCACCTAAAGAAGCAGCAAGCTCAATATTTTGGCTCCTTATAAGGTCAAAGAATTAATCTGTGAGGACCAAATATTTAGGGGAAATTTGCCTTACGCAAACGTCCACTCCTACCAACTCAGCAAACAATTAGGTTTGATATACATTTCAGAATGATTTGAAATCAAAGCCCTTCTCGTATGTCAAACGTTTGAAAAGGATTTGATAGTGATTTGAAAGTAACAGCTTTCTCAATAAAAAGGGTAGCTTGATCTCCATTTGAGAATATGGTCAACTCTCAAATCAATTTCAAAGGTTATTTATCAATTGAACCTCAAATTTGGAAATAAAACTTTTTATAGAAAATGTATATTTCATATTTATTTTTCCTTCACGAAGTTCATACATAACAGTAGAAACAATTAAGATAAAGTAATTTCTAATAAATTCGTCTTGAAGGGCTGCAGCTTCTTCAATCCGCGCAAACATCAAATCCACTATTTGTGGGCTTGCTCTTTTAATATTTTTTTTCTATTCAGTGTTTTTTAATTGAATTTAATTTCATTCTTACAATTTTTTATTTAACTGCGCACCTTTACGTCATTTGACACTTGTCACGTTTCTTCAAATCAATCTCAAATGAATTTCAAATGTAAAATGTAAACCTCGTTTTCAATTTGAGAATCCTTTGAGAAAAGCATTTGATATCAAATTGAGAAATAAATTTTTTTCAAACGTTTGAAACTGTGTTTGATGGGAAGAAGCTACACCAACAAACCAACGAGGCACAACACAGTAACAACGGCGAAATCACGGCACTTTTGTATTTAAGATGAAGTATAATTTTTTACCAAAGTACTTAACGAATCAGATCGTATATGTAGGGGATGTACAACCTACGAATTAAGAAACAAGAATGATTTCATAAATAATCTTTATAAATCTAATAAGGCACAAAATATTTTAATGTATCTAGGTCATAAACTATTTGTGACCTGGTCTACGAAAAGGGAGCTTACGTGCGAAAACTAGTTTTCTGTGAAAAAGCTGTTAAAAGTAAGCAACTCGTTTCGTCAGTTTCTCATTATCTCGTTAATTGTTCTCCGCGCCGGACGTCCAGTAAGTGTTGTTGTTGGTCCAGTAAGTGTTGTTGTTGGTCGGAATATTATTATAGTTCATCGTGTAAGTTGCTAGTGTGGAACATTTAAAAAAGTAACACTGAAGAAGTGACGTTTACTGTTTCTGTTGATTATCGTCTTCGCATTTCGCATGAAATGAAACATGAGTGTTGATGAGGAGTTCAGTGCCGTATACGGACAATATTTCCATGAAAAGGATGATGACTAGTAATTTTTAGCTAGAAAAAAAACCGACTTCAACTCTCATATGAAAAAAATATATATATATATATCTCATGATCCGCTGATCGGATCTTAACCAGATTAGTATGGGACCACCTCTGAGACACTACCTTTCCGAATTATCGAAATCGGTTGACGTGGTCCAAAGTTATGCGGTAACATACATAAAAAATAAAAAAATAAAAAAAAAATATTCCGACGAACTGATAACCTCCTCCTTTTTTGGAAGTCGGTTAAAAACGATGATGAAAACTATGAAGAGAGCGATGATGATGAAGACGAGGAACCAGGTCCATCTTCCTCACGATCAACACGTAAAAAGATCTCAAGGAAAACGACAACAAAGAAAAATACATAAACTACTCAGCATTATTATTTTTGGCCCATAATACGTTTTTCTAGTGTATAATCATGTCTTTATAGCTTATAATTCAATGTATTTTGTTCATTACCAATAAATTATATTTTGTCGTATTTTTACTCTTCTTTCTCTACATTTTTAGTACACTTCTAAGCAAGTTAGGATTTTCTGCTTTTCACCACGTGAAAAAGCATCTCATGTTCCATCCGAGTACTATAAAGAATTAAAATTGATTTTT